ACGATCGCGATGAAGATGACGAACGGGGCTGGAAGAGCGGATCGTCGACAGTGCGAATGGGACGGAAGACGAGCTTAGCATCTTCGATGGGCTGCAGCTCCTCCATAATGCGCAGACACGTAGGCACATCGGCTCGCACGATGATCTTGGAGATGTTTCCCGAGCCCAGCAGCATCATGATGTGTGAGCGCGGGAGCACAGCGAGACCGGGCACGCCAGGTAACGCACGGGCAGCGGCAGGAAACGTTAGCACGAGATGCGTGATCGAAGAGAGTGTCGCGAGATGGTGAAGCAGCCGACCGTCGAAGTTGATCAGATGCAGATGGGACAGTGACCGCGACGCTGACGTTGCCGACGACTCCGACGATGCGGCCGATCGCACGTCACCCAATGTGTCGATTGCCGATAAGGAGACAGACTCTTGCTGCTGCTGCTGTTCTTGCTGCGTCTGCGATAGAGGCCGAGCATGGGACTGCATATCCGAATCTTGTCGAGCGGGGCGCAGGCCGTCGAAGCCACCAGCCGCTGCGGGATTGTGCGACCTATCAGCATGCTCGGTGAGCGTGTACGAAACGTCGCTAGGGCGCAACACTGCCTGGATCCGTGGGTCGTTCTCGAGCACACGCGTCATCAGCCGGCGATGACGTGTGGCGAGACCATCGAGGTCAGCAGCACGCGAGACGTCGATCAGCGACACCTCTCGCGGCCTCACGAGTCCGACGAGACCAGCAGACCAGTCAGAGAACAGGTCTCTCGACAGGATCAGGTGGGTGAGGTTGCGACACGATGACAATATACGATCCGCCATGTGGCGCGAGACTTCGGGCGACATTCCAGCGCCCTCCACGTCTCCCGTCAGCGTCGAAGCCGATGCTGACGGCGGCACTGGGACTGACGGCAGGGACGCTGAGCTTGATGTGGACGCAGAAGGTGGTCCTGGAGAGGCCGTTGGATCACCCTCCGACACCCCCGCATCACCGTCTCCTCTATAATCGTCTACGGTGGTGCGCTGGAAAAGCGTTGGCGTTGTCAGAGACGGATCTTGTAGGAGACGTGGCTGATTTAGACCTTCGCTGGCGACCAGAACCAGGTAGCGGACCAGCGAGCCAAATCCGGGAGTTTCGACCACTGTCCGATGGAAAAGTTTGATCCTGACTGCGTCGAGGAGCACGACATGCCGATAGAGAAGCGGAGTGAAAAGCTGTCGATGGTGCTTGGAGATGCGGCAAAAGCGAGCAGCCTGGGTGATACTGGCAAGCGCTCCGGGCAGTCGAGAAGCAGTGGGGTCTAGATTGCAATCAGCATTGGCGAGGGACAAGGTGAGGATGAGATCCACGACCTCGAGGGGCAGCACTGGACCTTGCATAGGAGCATGAGTCGAGCTTGTTGCCACTCCGTCCTGATGAGGTGGCGTTCCGGGGGATTCCGTACCGTCGGCGCGGACGCGAAATGTTGATACAAGTCGTCCGGTACCAAATGCTGTCGAGGCCTTCCTGACTAGAATCTCGTAAGATATCGAGAATCCTTGATCGTAGATCGTCGAAGGATTGGGTTGATTCGGGGCACGTTGCTGGATATCTACGACAGCAGGGGGAACTTGGTTGCAAGCCGAGCAGTCACGAAAGGACGGATGAGGGAGGGAAGATTCTCGTCAAGAGCAAAGCCGGCTGAGTCGATCTAGTGCTGAAGCCGCATGGAGACGAAGAGGCCACAGGGGTGAGATGCAAAACGAAAAGCCAAGAGCCGAACGGGTAGGAGAAAGAAGGGAAGGGAGAGAATAAAGATAACACGAGATATCAAGGCTGGTCGCTTTTAGGGTTAGCTGAGGAAAACGTCTGAGTAAGACTGGGAAAGAGAGAGCTTGTGTATGCGTATATGCGTGTGTGTATGTGTTGTGCTTGAGACGGAGAGGTAGAGACAGAGACGAGGCAGAGCAGAAGTCAAGATCGACGTGTACGCCGTCGACGAAAAGAGGCTGAGTTGCTAGCGAATGACAGCGGCGGACGTGGTGGCCGACCGAACCAATGGAGCGGAACAGCCACAAGCACGGCCAATCAAGCCCCAGACCTATCCAATGAGCGACAAGTGAGGTGCGACGGTGCGGGAGGGATTCGAAAAGAGATGAAGGAGGATCTAGCGGAGCCAGCGGACGAGCATGTAAGCTTGTAACCCAGTCAGCCACTCAGTCCGTCAGCCAGTCGATGGGGTCGCGAAGGACTCGCCGAGCATGGAAACGATGCATGAAAGCGAGCGGCACAGGCGAACCCAAGACAGGTACACGGACAGCGACAGGCAGGGGGGACAGCGGCAGGCACCACGACAGCGACAGGGACAAGGACACTGACACGGATACGGACACGGATACGGACACGGACACGGACATGGACATGGACATGGACACGGACACGGACAGACGGAAAGAGGCACAAGAAGGAGGCGTAGAACGAGGGTCCAGAAGGAACGGGCATGGCCAAAGGGAGCCAAGGAATCCCAGAGGTGCAATCAAGCTGCAACTCGACGTAGAAGCATACAGTCGGGCATGGCTGAAGCTCAACAAGCAACGGAGACTCTAGTTTTGGCGAGCTGAGCCTGTACCAGCCGCTCGGTTCGAGCCAGTTCGGAGACTGTGTCCAGTTAATATTTGTGCCAGACGGGCGCGACACTGCACAAATCCACGGGCAGAGCGGAAGGAGCGGACTGACGAAGCCCAGAAGCGCCAAATCACCGGCACACGACGAGCCGACCAGTCGAAATGAGCATCGATACATACAGCTAGTACTCCGTCACTTGGCTAGATGCTGTAGATCCTGCGATCCGAAAGCGAGAGGCCAGAGAGGGCAAAGAAGACACCTCAATAACGACCAACAAACAAGCGTGGGCAATGCGGCCAAGGCAGCATGGAAGAGCAGCAGCAGCTTGGGGCTGCCAAAACAGGCGAGAGCACCAGAAAGGGGGCAGGGTGACCACCGATGTAAGAAGTACGTACTTGCGCTCGTCACAGCAGGCACACTACTTACTTGTGGAATGTGCTGCCTTTGGGACTGAGCAAAAAAAACAAAAGATCAAAAAATCAGTGGACGGAGGCGAGGGATGACAGCACTACTACAGTAGTGTACCCAGCTGTTTAGCAGCCGTTCCAAGCCTTTTTTGGTGAGTCCCCACCAAAACCTTATAGAAAGCCGTGCGCCAACATTCATCCAATATTATATTAGCTTGTATTATTGTTGTGTTCGGGAGACAGAGTGAGAGGGAAAGACCGAGTACGTGCGTGGGCGATTAATGCAAACCAGCGGAGTGGAACACCAGTTTGTCGGGAACTGGGGCCATCTGCATGGCACACCTCGCTTCGGGACCCAGAGCGAGACCAAGTCGCAGCCAGACGCACAGACGTTGTGCCAAAGACGCACGAAGTACCAGAAGCGACAGAGGCAGTCCGACAGGCTGGGTGAGCGGATGAGAACGAGAAGCTGGGCTTCAAATGACTAGCTCGAAATGTCTGAACATGGTGATGCTGAGAAGGGCGGACAAACGAGCTGTACAGTACAACGTTGAGAGCGGCGTACGGGTTGCCAGTGACGAAGATAACCCCTGCAGCCCATGTCTGCTACTGCGCGTGCTGCTGCAAAGCGTGGTTTATTGGAACGGTACGTGTCTTTGCATTCGGAGCCAGCCGGCCAGTCTGCCGGCGAGTGAGAGGACGACTGCGTGGAAAAAGAAGAAGAAAAAAAAAGGGGAGGAAGAAAAAAGGTGCCGGGAAATCCGAGCGGAACATGTTGATAGGGAGATCTTGTATGACAAGCCGGAGAGGGCGACATGACGCAGACTATGACGAGCTGCTCGGTACGTCGGCCGACGCGAGAGCTGGCTCGTCGGCGTCGGTCGTGTTTCGTCCCTTCAGCTTATCCCAGTCCCTCGAGCAGCGTATGGGACGCAGCCAATCCCGTCGTGCCGTCCTGCCTCCATCGGAGCCGCGTTCTGTCCGTGCAAGCAGCCCTCCACGTCGAAGTGGAGATCAAGCAGCCCTCCACCTCGACATGGATTCTCCACCTCAAAGTGGAGACGCTGAACACTGTCAACATCACCAGTGCTACTGGCCGCCCTGTGTTCCTTTCAACTTACGGCGGAACGCATCTGGATTCGCGTTGAGTGTGAACTTCACGTCTGCCTCGGCCTCAGTCGCAATGTGCACTTCTTGGTGCCCGCTTCAGTGGGTGTACACGGTTGGTTATCGGGCCGGTGGGAGTGGATCGAGGGTCGTGTCCGCTTGGCGGTTCCGCTCCTTAGGCTTGCGGGTCAACCGACGCAGCAGGACCCGGTCGCCGTGATTCTGGGCATTTTGGCGCATTGAGACTGGCCGGCCAGCGGTGGCATTCTCAATTACCGTCAACAGCATTGCACTAGCACTAGCTGTATTTCGTCTTCGCAGTTTTCTTCACACGGTCCTCGCATCATTGATCTGTATGTTTCCCTCTGATAGCGCATTGACAAATAGAGGTGGCCGGGTTGGAACAGCCTCGGAACGCACGCGCATTGCCGTTGCGCCTTGTCCCCAGGGGCCCACTCCATCTAGGTTGAAAGTCCGACCGCGAGGGTCGTGTACGGTCGCGCCCGTAACGGGTTCTCGCTTCGTTTGCCGAGCTACAGCATTTACAGAACGGCGGTGATCGCGGCCAAGTATGTCGATACTGACGTGGTGCCTGTACTGCCGTGCTATCGTCTGACTCGCGCCAGATGTCATGCTACTTGGTCGGACTTCCGTCTACCGCTCATTTGGATCTTTCATCTGGTGTCAATTTGTGTCAAGCCTGCGTGCCTCTACTGCGCGACTTTGCGACTGTGGATGGCGAAAATAGAGGAGAGACGCCCGGACTCGACGCACAAGTCTGGTCGAAAGATCGAAGTTGGCAATCGATGCCCAAAATGATGCGGGAAAAGGCCGCAAAAGTCAATACGAATATATATACAGTACAGGTCACCGGTGCTCAAGAAATCCACACCCCGGCCGGTTGGCCCAATGGTAAGGCGTCTGACTACGAATCACTTCGAAATCAGGAGATTCTGGGTTCGAACCCCAGGCTGGTCATAACTTTTTTTATGCGACCCGAGTCTTTCACGGCATGACTTGCGAGCGATTGCAAGAGGGTCAATAGGTCCGCGGCTACATCGGTGCATTTCCCGTCCGCGACTGACCCCGAATTTCGAATCCTCCTTTTTTTCACATTGATTTTCGTGTCAGTCAGAACTAGGATTCCCTTGATATTGTTGACCACGGCCTCCTTCGAAGCGCATTTGCTGACGCTGCCGTTCAGCCACGTTCCGTCTGGCGAGTCAGGGCTCACGCGTGGCCATTCATGCCGGCAGAGGTCCAGGCCTACACACGCAAGCAGAAAGCATGAAAGAGCACGAGTCGCTTGGCTAAAAACGGAAAGAGAAAGTTGTCATCCCAGACGACCATGGATAGAGACAGAGGAGTCGCAAGAACCGCATCGGAATGACGCGGTGCTGCCAAGCCTGCGTGTCTACAACTGTCAAATCACCGTGCCCACGTGATGACTCGTAACTGCTGCGGACATCCTTTGCGCACCTGGAGCAGACATCGTGCTTGCACCAGTTGCGTCAAAGTGCTTGCCTCGTCCGTATAAGCCAAATCTTGGCGACGAAGAGGTGGGCAGGGCGGGAGGTATTCCACATCCATGCATGCCAAGCCAAAGAATGTTGAGAGGCCTCGCTGACGAAGCCAATTGGCGACACCACGAGACATGAATACCGTAGCTGCAGCATGCTCGCCAACTTGCTGGAGAAAATGCCCGCTTCCGTTCAGCTCTCTTCGTCGGCTTGGCAAGTCAAGTCAAGTCACGACAGTTGTTTGTGGTCATTGTACGGCCAAGTTGGCCATTTTCACCTGCCAGCCGCCTTGCTCTCAGGTTTCACCACCTAGCTCCTCGGACGTCAAGTTTGTTTTTGTTTCACCACGACTCGGAAGGTTGAGTCTCACATTTCTTGCCCGATTCCGAAAGTCGAATGTCTTTTGGGTGTGGCGCAATTGAAGGCCTTCCATATGCCGTACAAAATAGGGTCCAGACCGTCGCGGGGTCACCGCGGGCATCCCGCCAAAACAATGGAATGCTGGCGGCGTGAGTGTAAGCGTGACGCGCCTCGTCGCGTGCAACTAAACAAAATGTGGTAATTTGACAGGTGAAGCGGACGGCGACACGGTCTGTCCCTGGTGCAGCCAGCAGACCGCTCAAAATTCACATGGAAGGCTCGGGTTAGGCGAGACGGCACAAAGGAGATCACCACCGAAAGGGAGAGAGCCGCGCACCCTGTCCGGCTGCCTCGACTGACTGAGCCAGGTGGACGCAGTCAGTGGAGTGAAGCAAATGCAGACATATCTTGGCCAAGCGAATCTGGAAGCCTTCACAAGACCGCTCGGACTGACACCGCATACTCCAACGGCAATACCGCATTACCCAACATTAGTGCTTCTAACCCGATTGTTGAGCGTCGGACTCGTCGGGGGGACATTTGCTGCACGCAGGCCCAAGAACTGCAGCGGAAGGTCCGACGCCAATCCACACCGATACGAGCGAGCTACGGCTCGGCTCGGCTCCGTGCGAGATCGGCAGCCACATCGGCCAACGCGTAGCTCGGCCATCACCGAGTATCCGTTCAATCTGTCCGACTCCTCGGCGCACTTCACACCATCTCGCGGTGCATCACGCTGACAACGGTCCTGTGACCAAGCTTGGCGACGACGGCGGACATCTTGGACCAAGCCCGCAGGACGCCATCGTTGTCAAGGCACTATTGGCTCGGCACACGCTCCTCGTTCAGTGCCCGGAACTCGGAGCCGACGCTCCTCGCTTTGCCAATCCTACCAGATCTCCAAAGCAGGGCTGTAGCTGCCTCCTACATACCAGCTGCCATCCACGGCCAGGAAGTCTAGCAACGATGCCGACGGAATCGAATAGTCGACGGAAGGAGGCTGCGACTCCCGTGCTCGCTGCGACGCTCTCTGACGTCACGGGCCTGGCCAACCTGCTCCGCTCGGTCGCTCTCCAGCAGAATGCCGTCGTAATCGCATCGGAATCGGGCCTCGAGATCGTGACCGAACTCAATCGCACGCTCCAGGCCCACGCCTATCTCTACTCGCACATGTTTGACACGTACGACTTTCGCGCACCACCGACCGCTGCCGCCTCTTCTCGCCGCAGCAGGACAAGCTCACGTCCATCGAAGCGAGCGAGGACATCGTCGTCGCCACCTGCCGCATCGGGCTCCTCGCCGACCCAGTCAGAGCAAAGCGACGCCGGCGAAGCCGAAGACGACGACAACGACGACCAAGAACATGCATGGAAGGAGCCGGCCAGCACCTCGTTCGAGGTGAATCTGCAGACGTTGCTGTCGTGCCTCAATATCTTTGGCGGCGTGGGCTCCGCACGGCCGTCTTCCAACAGCTTTCGGGGCGGCACGGCGACCGACGGCGGCGGCGGGGCCAGAGGGGGCTACGGAACCTATCAACGTACACGCGAAGCGACGGCGGGACTCGATGGGGCCGGTGGAGCTGGAGCTGAGCGCTTTGCGTTCAACACACCCAAGGCGACACGCATGAAACTGACCTACCAGGGCATGGGTCATGCCCTGGTGCTCGAGCTGGAGCAAGAGGCCAACGTGCTCACTACGTGCTCCATCTCGACGTACGAGGCGGGCTTCTTGACAGACTTGGTGTTTGACCCTGCCCGGATGGTGTCGCAGGTGATTGTGGGGTCCGAGGTGATGCACTCGGCCTTTTCCGAGATCGATCAGAGCTGCAAGAAACTGTCGATTCTCGTGTCGCCACCCACGGTATCGCATTCGCGCTCGAAGGCCGGCGCGGTCGACGGGATCAAGCCCAACATGCTGCGGTTCAAGGCGATCTCCGACTCGGGGTCGTCCGAGATGGAGTATCCTGCGGGCGTGTCGAGCTCGGATCCGACGGGTGTGATTGAAAAGTTTGTCGCTCTGCCAGAGAGCCAGGAGCAGTGGTACGACTTTACGCTGCTCTCGCGTACCATGACGGTGCTGCGCTCTTCGATCAAGACTTCGATTCGCACGGATCAGGACGGCCTCATCAGCTTCCAGTTCATGATGCCCAAGTATCGCAAGTCGGCAGGGGCGGGTGCCGCAGCGGGAGGCGCTGCCGTCGAAGATACCGACGAGCAGGATGCTTTCTGCGAATTCCTCTGCTGTCCTCTGGATACCCAGACCTTGATCATCTGACATGCTGGCTCTGCGCCATCACCACGAACTACCAGCCATCTGTGTCGATCGACATCCTCGGTGGCATTCTTCAAATTAGTTGCACGTGCAACTCCAATGTATCAGTACCGTATGCATCCATGCTTACAATAGCGCATCCATTCTTACAATAGCATTATCAGCATGATTCACCCCACGTCGTGCGTGCGTCTCGCACTCTTTCAGACAAGATAGTGTGCGGCTCAAGTCGGCGTCAGATCGGCTGGACCGACTACAAGGATGGCACGCCCACTGCGTCGATCACGATGAACCTCGGTACACACGATCACATCACATCCTCATTTGAGCTGAAGCGAGCTAGTCACAGACCTGCATTATTGGTGTTGTGCTCTTGCAACACGTCACGGGATAAATCAGGGAATGCAGCTAGTTCTGTAGCAGCATCGCGGTCTACGCCAGTGCCTGTCGGCGTCTTGGTCCGTCTCGAGCTTCCATGTTCTTGTTTCTTGTAGTGTGCACCGGAATGGAATGCGATCTCATCACCGCAAGTAAAATAAAAATAAAAATTAACGGCAGAACCTATCAATAATACTGTATATAATGTGCACATAGCCACCTGTTTTAATGTTGCCGAATGGCGACTCCGCTTCCCCGCGTCTCACACTGCTCTCACACGCAAGGGAACAACTGGCCCGTCCGTCGCGACCGACGCACCCACAACCCACGCACGCAGCATAGCATCATTAATCAACGTCCGTGCATTACCCTAATCATTACCACTGTAGCTGTACAATTAATATATCATTAATTAAGTATAGAGTTTTTTTATTTTGATTTTTTTTTTCGGGTTGACTCGCTACGGTATTTTGGTGAGAAGGGCTTCTTTTCATGCATGCGCTTCGCATGCAATTTAGGCTGTCTTGCATCTAAGTTATCACGGCTTTCTTTTTTCGCAGCTGGGCATGTGATACTTATCTCTAGGGCGGTGGACTGTGGTTCTGTCGAATCACCATCTTGTGTGTCGACATTGGCCGTCACCGTCGGCGTCACCGTCACCGTCACGGTCATCGTCAGCGTCAGTATCAGTGTCACTGTCTCACGATCATCACCAATTCACAAAAAAAAGAACGGCTACTGAATCACGTTCGAATTCGAACTCGAATTGTAGTGTTGTGTCGAGACCTTGCGTTCGACATGAAGGTGTGTTCGCTTCTCTGCAGATGTGCAGGGCTGGCGGTGGCGGGTGGCGCGGTGTTGGCAACAGCGATACAGCAGCCCTGGTCTGATGGCGTGACACCCTCGCTCACGCTCCCGCCAACCCCTTCCCTACCGCCGAGCTACAGCACCGGCCGCGTGACAACGCACGACGGTTCTTCGATCTGGTACGGTCTCTTTGGCGATCCGGGTTGGACGGCTCGACCGATGGTCACGTTCCTGCACGGGGGGTTCGGCAATTCCGACTACTGGGGATTGCAGATCTCGCACCTCGTCACAGCGGGGTTCAGATGTCTCGCGATCGATTCCCGCGGCCATGGAAGATCGGTGGAAGCAGAGGGCGGGATCACGTACGACATGATGACGCATGATGTGTTGGCGGTCTGGAGAAAACTCGGGGTGACAATATCCTCCGTCGTGGGTTGGTCGGATGGCGGGGTTATCGGTCTGGATCTGGTCATGAACCAGACGGAGACGGATTCACACCCCACCTCCCGTCCGAGAGTCGATAAACTCTTCGCGTTTGGTGCGAGCTACAGCCCCGCCAACATCAACACCACCATCAACGACAACGCCGTCTTCTCCACATATCTGAATCGAACTCAGTCCGAATTCCGCAACCTCAACCCC